AAAAAAAAAAAAAAAAGGTTTTATGAAAGCCAGTGTTTCCCAAGTAATTTGATCCCCTTCCAACAAAAGTGTTTCCCAGGGTGTAGTGGTTGTGGGGAGTTGAAGATACTTCACTGAAGCCCGACCACAGTAACAATGAGTCCACCTTGCGAATCTTTTTATAATCTGTTCACCTTAGTTTCATAAAGCCTTAATTATCTTCCAAATACCAGAGTTTGGGAACAAAATGCATTAGAATACTGAAATACCTTAGTAAAGTTCTAAACTAACATGGATGGGTATTGAAATAATCTCTGAACATTTTCTGCTAGAGTCACATTAAGTCTTTTGTGTATTTGCAGCAACCCTTTAGCGAGGCAGCTGCATTTTCTAATCTGAGATAGAAAAGCTGGGGAGAAGTAGACTGAAGAGTGGAATGAGTCAGAGGCTCCGTGGAGGCCCTCCAGGGGTCAGGTCTCTATGGGAACCATCAGGCCTTGTATAGTCACAGCAGCCAGTGCCTGAGTACCTTCCTCGGACTAGGGACCTGGAGAGGTACTTTGCACACACTATTTGTCTTTGCAACAAGCCCTTGGCAAACAAAGCTTTAGTGCTTTTGCGTAGTCTTAAGCCCATAGGCACCAGAATTCCAGCTTACTTATATCCGTCTGTGCCAAAGACTGTGTTCCTAAGCATTATGCTAAGCATACAAAAACCAGGCCCAGAAAAGCTTTCTGCTTGTTTATGAAATGGGGCTTTTTCCTAGTATTGTATGTGTTTCATGGATGGTACCTCCCCGGGAACATTTCATGATGGCAGAGGATGTGAAAATTCACTGTGTGCCTCCAGGGAGGATGAACCCCCTGGAGGAAAGCTGTTTGGCAAATCATTATTTTGATTGTAAGCTGTGCCTTGGCTAGCCTTTTAGGGTGTTGTGTAGATGTTAGCAGCATAGCCCATTGCTAGGAGACAGCAGCAGACCAGACTGGCTTCTCCCACCAGTGACGTGTTTGTACTGCCGGCTCTAAAACCAGTCTATCTACTGAGTTTGACCATGGCCCTGGAAGACAGTCTTTCACAGGCAATCAGCCACTTTTAGCTGTGCCTTCGTGACGAGGTGGACTGGCTGACCAGTGTGGCAAGGGCAGTGGACAGGACTTTGCTGCTGTCTCCTTGACCGCTGTACTGAGCCCTGACCCTGGAGAGATAGATGCCCTGGTCCTTGGTCCCTGACTCCTCCACCCGTCCTCACTCCTGCATGATGGATTAGTCCATTTGACTCATGTGGGCTACACAGCCTGTATTAAAGAGAAGACCCAGCAGGAGCAAGTGGGAATGAGAAAGGCTGTCTACAGTGGCGTGGGAGAGACTCCCCCACAGAAGATGGAGTTCCTCCTTGTGTGCAGAGCAGGTCACCTGTCTGTGCAGTCCACATTTCACCCGAAACAATATGGGCCCCAACACTCATGTGGTATGTATAAATGGGTGTGAGCAACCCTGTCTGCAGGTGAGGGGACTGAGGCTTCAGTGGTGAATAACTTTCTCGAGCTCTTCTGGAAGTGTCAGTGTTTCTTCCTAAAGGGCACACTGAACAAGAGCTGTGCTCACCTGTGGACAGGCTTGTCTCTGTATCCATCTGTCATGACCACTATTTCTCAAATCATACCAAGCACTTTGCAAACAAAGTGGTATCCAGCACCACCATACCCAGTAACTGGCTTTAAGTGGATATGGGCAACTTCATTTACAGCAAATGGGATTGCCACTGGGGCAGTGAATAACGTAAGTGCACGCAGGTAGTTCAGCCATCAAGCAGGGGTTTGAAACCAGGTCTTTAGTTCCCAAAGTCTTGCACTCTCTCATCTATCTGCTGTCTCTCAGATGGGTGCCTCTGCTCACCACCCTGGTTTCTGGTGCCAAGAATAACATGATGGGCTGGTGGCCTCTTCTCCCAAATAGCAATTTTTAATTGAGGTATGATTTATTTATCATTTGCATAAGTACACAAATCTCAACTATCTAGCTTGATGAGTATTTACATATATTCCCAGGTAATCATCACCTAGGTCCCAGTGTGGCACTGTAGGATAAGCATTGGATCGCAAGATTGTTTTGAGCTGCAAGGTCAGTGGTTCAAACTCAGTAGCCACCCCTTGGAAACCCTATACAGGGTCACTATGAGTCAGAATCGACTCAATGGCACCTAACAACAATAACAATCATCACTTAGATTAAAATATTAAAAAAAACAACAACCCACTGCCATCAAGTTGATTCCAACTCCTAGTGACCCTATACAGGGCTTCTGAGATGACGGTAAGTCTTTACTGGAGCAGAAAGCCTCATCTGTCTCCCAAGAAGTGGCAGGTGAATTTGAACCACTAACTTTGTGGCTAGCAGCTCAATGCTTAACCCACAGTGCCACAATGACTCCTTAAACCCACTGCCATAGAGTCTATTCTGACTTCTCACAAACCTATTTGGGGGTTTCCGAGACTATAAATCTTTATGGGAAAATAGCCTCATCTTTCTCCTGCAGAGTGGCAGGTGGGTTTGAACTGCCAACCTTGTGGTTAGCAGCCCGGTGCTAACCCACAGCACCACAGGGTTCCATACCAGGGCTTCTTGGTGGTGACTCATAGCAATCCTGTATAGGATTTCCGAGGCTGTAAATCTTTACAGGAGCAGAAAGCCTCATATTTCTGGTAAATTCAAACTATGGACCTTTTGGTTAGCAGCCCAGCTCATAATCCACTATGCTACCAAAGCTCCTTAGGATAAGATATCAAACCTCTTAAAACATAGGCTCTTTATAGACTCCTAATAAGGCATAGAAGGAGCTCTGGTAGCGTAGTGGTTACAAATTGGGCTGTGAATCTCAGGGTCAGCAGTTCGAAACTACCAGCTGTTCTGCGGGAGAAAGATGAGGCTTTCTGCTCCCGTAAAGACTTACAGCCTTGGAAACCCTGTACAGGGTCGCTATGAGTCAGAACTGACTCCATGGCACATAACAACAACAACAATAAGGCATAGAGCCTGGGAGAGTGTCCCCTGCTCCCAATGACAACCAGCTCCAGTTAGCTATGATGCTCCTGCCCTTCACCACAGATTCTTTCCCCTGTTCTTCAATTTCATATAAATGGAGTTACAAATGTGAACTCCTCGGTGTGGAGCTCCTTTTGCTTAATACTATGTTTGTGAGCTTCCTTCTCAGTGTTGTACATACCTGTGATTTGTTTCATTTCCTGGCTGTGCAGTGTTCAGTTGTATGATTCTGGCCAAATGTCCCTGTTGTTCTCTTAGGGACAAGCAATCTGGGAAGCATCATCTATCAGCTAGGGACTGTTAAGAACAAAGCTGCTGTAAGCATTCATCTACCGTGGCATGTTTTTGTGTGTATACTCAGGTGGACCTGTTGCTTAGCACTGTGTAAACTTTGACCTCACCAGCAGGCATTCTTGTGGGTCCTACAGACTTTCCCTTGGAATACCTTCCTCAAATGCAGTGGCCCTAGGAAGGCTGGTCAGAGGGAAAGGGATGGGTTTGTACTCTACATCCCATGCTGAATCTCACTTGGGTACATCTCATCTCTCCTTGTTCCATCCTCTCCACCATATCCTAGGGTGAGCTCCACAAAGATTGTGCTGCTGTGACCGAGGATGAAGACCAGTTCAATAGTCCAAGCAAGCAAACTGGCTACCTACCCAGTAATGGGACTGACTGCGGCTGGGCGCCATTTGGTGAGTTCCTTGTCAGCCACCCTCACGTTGGTCCTGTTGCTGGAGTGGTTTGTCCTTGAGCTGGTGAGCCGTGGCGGCATTTGCTGAGGTCTTCAGTCCTTGCTAATTTTAGCAGCAATTATGCTGTTCTAACGCCTAATGCATTTCCAATGAGGGCGCCCTCCCATCAAATAATTATCATTCCTTCAACTGCTACTCTCTGCATTATCCATTCATGAGGTCCCTGTGTGCGGAAGCATTCATACCTCAAACAAGATGCACTGAGTGGAGGAGTCTGCTGGGAATGATTTGCATTTTCTCTTCAAAATGGGAAGTTCAAACTCATAGAGCACGTATCTGTGGGTAGAAAGAAGAAAAAGAGCACAGGGGCATGGTGTGGGGTATTGAAGAAAAACCCAGTTCAACAGTTAGGACAAAATAATTAACCAGATGCTTACTGAGCACAAGAGATTTTGTATCATCTGAATAGTGTCTGTTTGGTTTGTAATTCTTTGACAGTGTGGTGACTTTATTTTCCAAAACCATTTAGCCAAGAAGCTGAGCAGAAGCCACATTGCTCTGGTCTGTGTTTTCCAACCAGCCCTGTGCACTTTCTGAACATCTTGCCCAAATGTCGAGAACAGAAGCATTGCACTTTTTTGCCCTGCCCTAGAACATATACTGATGCCTAGTCCACTCAACGGCACATACCAACAACGACGACAAGTTACAACTAAATATTGATGAACTTCTCCTGTTGATTTTCAAATCTGTGCAGATAAGGACAACTACCAGCAGCTGCTTGGAGCCTTGGATTACTCCTTCCTGTGCGCTTATGCGGTTGGCATGTACCTGAGGTAGGTCACCTACCTGAAGTGTTCTAAGGTCCTTGACTTGTTCCTTGATCAGGCCAGCTTCCAAATGGTTACAGATGTCCCCAAGACTATGGCCCTTCAAGCCTGGAACTGAACTCACCCTGGTGGCTCAATTTTCAGTCAAATGATAGAAGGACCTCTAAAGTGAACAATCGTACCAGGGAGGTATGCACTCCATAGAACAATCAACCATATAAAATCAAAAGGGCAGCGTTTGCCCAGTGATAAAGCTCAGAAGGTGGGTAGGAAAGAAGGGCAAAGGAACATGGGAACCGGGCAAGTGGGAAGAGTGCTGTTATATTGTGGGGCTTGCAATGACAGTAGGAATCAAAATGTATATGACTTGCTGAATGGAAAATCAATTTGCTCTGTAAACTCTCACCCAAATCACAATAAGAAATTAAAAAAAAAAAAAAAAAAAAAAGTCACCACCTTGAAATCCCTGTGGAGCAGTTTTACTCCTCACACCCTGGCTCGCCATGAATTGGTTCTGACTTGGCAACAACTAACAACAACAACAACAAAAGTGTGTCCAAGACTAGGCCCCTATTCACACACGCTTCCCATTTGCTATCTTCTTGGTGGTGAGGACAGAGTGAAAGCAGGTGTGTTGAGGTGAACCTGGAAGCAGAGGGTCCCTCATCCCAGGTCCTCTGCTGAGTAGGTGCAGACTATACCCCGCCTTCCTGGCCCTGTGCTCGTAACATGCTGTGAATCCTGCCACCCCACACTGAGTTTATGTGGTCACTGGAGTTCATGGGATGACAGCCCCTTGTGGTGCCATACAGAGCTTCTCCTCTCTTGTGGTCTCAGTGACCACCATCTTTTTACACACCTCAAGTGATAAATTTCACAATTATGGCAGGTCTATTAAGGAGCCTTGGTGGTGCTGTGGCTAAGCATGTGACTGCTAACTAAAAGGTTGATGGTTCAAACCCACTAGCCACTCAGCAAAAGAAAGATGTAGCAGTGTGCTCTTATAGAGATGACAGGTTTGGAAACTGGGGGAGCAGTTTTCCTCCGTCCTGTAGAGTCTTTCTGAATTGGAATCGATCGTAACAGGTTTGGATTGGTTTGGACTTTGGTCAAATCTGTTTACACAGTGCACTTTGGGCATCTCCACCTGAATGACTTCTAGAAACCTCACATTCAACTTAGCCCCAAACAAAATTCATCCTAGATGCAGCAGAGGGAGTTAGCATGGTGGTTAGGGATGTGGGCTCCAAGGAAACAACTGTTTAGATTAGAATCCCAGCTGTGCCACTTGTTAGTGTACATCCTTGGGCGAGTTAGTATGCCTCTTTGTGCCACTTTTCCCTTTGCAAGTTGATGGAAATAATAGTTCTTATGTCATAGAGTTACAGTGAGATGAAATGAGTTGGTACATATAAAATGCTGAGTGTCAGATGGTGTCTGACACATGGCATGTCGTCAGTCATTGTTAGCCCTGACCCTGCTCTTGTCTCCATACTTGACAATGACCTAAAAACCCAAAATCCCACTGCCGTCAAGTCTAATTAGACTGTTAGCAATCCTTTGAGACTAAGTAGAACTGCTCCATGGGGTTTATGAGACTGTAAATCTTTATGGAATCAGAAAGCACCATCTTTCTTCCATGGAATGTGTGCCCTGTAAGGAAACTGGAGACATTCCATTCTCCTCACCACCATCCAAACTATTGGGCTAAATCTCTACCATGTACCAGGCACTCAATGGGCACTTATCTCATTTGATCCCCGAATACCTGTCTGAGGCAAGACTCAAAAGGGGTTAGCTTTTTACTGGGTCATGCTGTTGTTCAGAAGAACCTTAGAGATTCTCCCTGTGGGGGTTCAGACCCTAAAGAAAATCTGCTGTCTGTAAAAGCAAAGCAAAGTGTCTGTGGCCAGTGTGGAGCTATTTGGTTCTCACTGAACTAATCTTGTGAATTGTTACAGTGTAGGTGACTGAATGACTGCCCACCTGGGTGGGCTGTATGGTACACTCACGGTCATTAGCTATTATTGTGACATTTGTCTGTTAGTTTGATAGTTGATATTTAAATATATATATACTCATTGGTGTGGCACCACAGGTTAATGCACTGGACGGCAAGGTCATTTGAACTGCAAGGTCGGTCGTTCAAGCTCACCAGCCACTCTTCGGAAACCCTATACAGGGTCGCTATGAGTGTGAACCAACTTGATGGCACTTAACAACAAACACTCATTGGATGGTGCTTATATATAACATCAGGGATAATTAGCTGTCCAAGTCCCTGTTTTCTTTCATTGGTGGCCATCATAAAGAAAGCATATTTGAGTTTTATTATTTGACAGTTAGTGCCTTTTACTAGAAACAGAACTTCTCTTACTTAAGCTTCAGCTAGTTGCCAAGTTCTGGTTAAGAACTAACTGTTCCATAGGGAAACAGTGTGACTCAGTCTTCCTGGAAACGATCATGCTTCCGAGCTCTCCAAGCTCCAGGAACAGCCGAAAGAGTCCTGAGAGATGCCTCTGGTCACTGACATCATGGGTGTGTGTGCTTTCTCATGTCTGTCTTTCCTTCTTCTCTACCCCCAGTGGGATAATAGGGGAGCGCTTGCCAATTAGGTATTATCTGACCTTTGGGATGCTCGCCAGTGGGGCCTTCACCGCCTTGTTTGGCCTGGGATATTTCTATGATATTCACAGTTTTGGATTCTACGTGGTAACTCAGGTAAGGGTTCGGGTCCACAGCTCACCATGTGTGGGGTTCCCATGATGGCTAAGATGGGGTGTTTGTCATATGGTGACAGACATATGACACTGCTGGGAAAGAGTGGAGGTGGGGGTGGGGGTCAGAATAGCTGTGCCCTGTCAGAAGTCAGGGTCCACGCTGGCAGGTAAAACCCCTCCTCTGTTGCTGTGTTATTCACTCTGACACTCTGGCAACTGTGAAGTGTTGCTTAGTTTCAGGTTTACTTCTTAAAGAATCCTACTTGTCAGTCCCTCCTGGACCCCCTTGCCATTCCTCACAGCCGGGGGTGGGGTGGGAGTGATTAAACAAGAAGCCCTTATTCATCATTCTTAATTTTGATGAGTCTGAGATATTCTCCTGTGGACAGGAATGGGGCTGTAGGACCGTTTGGAGGGTGGAAGGAAGGCTGGCCTCTGGAGCCATTGACAGTGTGGGATTGGGGTATGAGGTGGTCAGTGGGAAGGAAAGGAACAAGACTGTTGGTGCCACAGGTGATTGAAGTCCTAAGTGCACCATTGGTGAGCACCCTGCTAGGCTCCCAAACTTCAGATGAACAGTAGAGTAGGCTTATGACCCTCCTCTGAAGAAGAACTTCCCGGTGTGACTTCCATCCACAGTGAGTTCCAGTTTTGACCTCTTTGCAGATCATCAACGGCCTTGTGCAGACCACCGGCTGGCCCAGCGTGGTTGCCTGTCTTGGCAATTGGTTTGGCAAAGGAAGGTAAGACACAGCAGCCCTGTTCCCAGCAGGAGCTGTTTGTAGAAAAGACAATGATGAAAAAAACACTTTCTTGTTAATCTCCCTTCAGGTGAATTGCAGACAAAACCACTTTGAAGTAATTGTTGTACTCTCTAGAATCCAGGTGGCCCTTTGATCCGGGAGTCAGTAGAGCCCAGCCCTCAGCATTGAGGGCCAGTGAGGACTGTGTTACTCACAGAGCTCCAGGACCTGTAGGGCCTGGGCTGGAAGGTCCCGGAACATGGAGAATCTCAGCCCTGCCCCAGGTCTTTTAAAGCAGAATCTGCATTGTAACAAGGCTCCCAGGGAACTCACACATTTGATAAGCCCTGACCTAGGTGGTCCAGCACACAAGTGGTAGAGTTGGGACTCAGAGTCTGGTCACTTGATTGCCAGTCCAGGTTCAGCCATAAATGTCTGTGTGAAAATGGGAAGGAGCTTAACCCAGTTCAGCGAGGCCAAAGGCTGAGTCACAGGGAGGATACTAGACAGGATGGGTGAACAGACCCATCCAGCCTTATTTAGGTACTTCACCCACTGCTAATATGAAATATCATCAGAAGATTGTATTTAGATGATTGTTGTTGTTGTTTGTTGTTAGGTGCCATCGAGTCAGTACCAACTCATAGCAAACTTATACACAAGAGAATGAAACACTGCCCAGTCCTGGGCCAACCTCACAGTTGTTGCCATGCTTGAGCCCATTGATGCTGCCACTTTGCTGATCCATCTCACTGGGGATCTTCCTCTTTTTCTCTGACCCTCCACCTTACCTTCTTCAGTGACTGGTCCCTTCTGACAATATGTCCAAAGTCTGGCCATCTTGGCCTCCAAGGAGCACTCTGGCTTCACTTCTTCCAACACAGATTTGTTCAAATAGATTTATTTAGATGTTAGAGGCATGTATTTAAATTTGGTGTGTTCTAAGAATTTCTGGAAAAAGGTCTTTCTTTTAAATTAAGGAGTCCCTGGGTATCACACAACATGCCCAGCTGCTAACCAAAAGGTGAACTGTTCGAGTCCACCCAGAGGTGTCTAAAAAGAAAGCCGCTGAACAATGACGTTGGTATGGCAAAGATGGAGGCTGAGAAATCACCCACAAACAGCCACTGAAAATCCTGCAAATCACGCTGCTACTCTGACCTACAAGGGATCGCCATGAGTCAGATTCAACTTGTCCACAACGAGATTTTTTTCTTTTTAAATTATGAAATAAGAATGAGCTCTGAGGGAGGATTGGGAATGTGTGATTATAAATTCCAAGGCCAATTCAAAACCTAGTCCCGTTGCCAGCATCTGGTCCTGCCGAAGCAGAGCCCAGGCTCTTGTGTGTACCTTGGGTCACTGAATGGCCTCCAGGTATTGACTCATTTCAGCCTCTCTACATCATTGCCTTCTTGTTGTTGGTTGTGTTGCAGGCGAGGTTTGATTATGGGTATCTGGAATTCCCACACCTCTGTAGGCAACATTTTGGGGTCCTTGATTGCCGGCTACTGGGTATCTACATGCTGGGGCCTGTCCTTCATCGTGCCTGGAGCCATCGTGGCAGCCATGGGACTAGTGTGCTTTCTCTTTCTCATTGAACGTAAGTACACATGGTCTGGGAGAGGACGCACCAGAAGATGTCACTGGGAGGGCTCTGGGGGAGGGGTGCATTGATATGGGTGGGTTGCTGCTTCATGCTGTGCTTGCCTGTGGTTGATTGCTCAGCTTCTACCTTTGCCTTACCAACTTCCTTGTTCAGGGATAGCCACTACTCAGTCATTTGCCTTGGAACCGATTCTGGCTCAGGGTGACTCATGTGTGTCCATGGGATTTTTCAAGGCCGTGACCTTTCGGAAGCAGATCATCTGGTCTTTCTTTCAAGGTGCTTCTAGAGGGTTCAAACTGCCATCTTTTTTATTAGTAGCCATACATGTAACTATTTGTGCCATGTAGGGACTCCTGGTTCAGGTATGACCCATTACCATTGAGTTGGTTTTGATTCGTGGTGATCATATGTTACACAGTAAAACTACTCCATAGGGTTTTCTTGACTGTAATCTCCATGACAGCAGACTATCAGACCTTTTTTCTGTAGCTCTACTGGGTAGGTTTGAATCAGCAACCTTTAGATTTAGCAACCAGTCACAAACCACTTGCACCACTACCAAGGAAACTTGTTCAGGTATTGTTGTTGTGAAGTGATGTCAAGTCAGTTCCGACTCATAGTGATCCTGTACAGGTTTCCAGGGCTCGACTGGTGAGTTTGAACTGCCCACTTTGTGTGTCAAACCAACCTTATGGTGGAGTGCTTATCCTACAGTGCCACACCAGGACTCCCTGATTTCCTGTTTCTTTCCTGGTCCTGATGGATTTCCTGTTGTTCTCTGCATTAACCAATGTCGAACTTCTTTCTACCTTGACCTCCTATTTGCAGCATTTTCCTCACCTTCAGCCTTGCATTCTTTTTCTCCTGTTTGGAAGTTGTACTCTTACTCTATCCCACCACATCACTCAGCTCCAGGGTGCTGCGCTAAGGTGCTGGCCTGTGGGGCTGCACCTGTTCACCCAGTCTTGCTGTGCAACCAGATGTATCTCTTATCAGCTTGTCTGCTTTCTGATAAAATAGACCTTGGCCAATGTTATAAAAAGCAGGGCATGACTGAAGGCATAAGACCTTATGTCCTAATTAAGTAAAGTGTGTTCTATCAGAAAATCAAATTCTTTGTTCCTCTTCAGATTCAATACCAGAACATTTCGTTTCACTGACTTTGAAAGTAATGTTTAAAAGTAGAGAACTGGTAGAACAAGAACTCCTCACAATGACACTAGTACTGCTTTGTCCATGACTTGTCAGCATGTCCTAAATAATTCCACTGCTAGTCTGATGAATACATGTGACATTTTGTTCTTTGACTTAGCTTAATGCTGAATCACATGGTACTCCCAGATGGGGTGCTCAAGCATTAAATCCTTTGGCATTAATGATGGCGTCACTTTTGCATTCAGAGCTACAGCCTCATCGTCCAAAAAGTTAATGCTAGATTCTGTTTACTTTCTCATTTCTTTTTGCCTATTGCTAAAGTTAACCTATGGAGTCCCCGTATGGTTCTGTGGGTTAATGTGCTGGACTGTAAGGTCAGAAACAACGCAACACTCCTAGGAAACCCCATACAGGGTTGCTATGAGTTGGAAACGACTTGACAGCACTTAGCAACAACAAAGCTAACCTTGTTATTGTCAAAGTAACCACCCCATGTGGCCATGGGGGCTCCAAGACTTCTCTGTGTGTAAGGAGGGAAGCAGAGACTAAAATGTTGGGTCACAGACAGACTGCTAGTGTGGCTGCAATGCGGGAGTGCCAGTGTTTTCACCAGAAGTTGAGGCCACTTGTAACAGCATCTCAAAAAGTTCAGAGTAGTTAAATAAGTGCTTTGCTGGACAGGTGGGAGCATTTTGGTCTACTGAATCCCTATATTCTGATAAAGTGTTTCTTTCATGCTTGTCACACCATACCTGGAGTTCCTGTCACCCCTGCCACCCTGCATGTTTCTTAGACATGGTCACGTGGGAAACAGTGCCCGTCCTCTGCTGTCATTCTGCCAAATGTTAAAGTCCACTGCTAACTTTCATTCTCTTCCTCAGCTGGTAAACGGTTGGCTCTGGAAAGAGAACATGTGATGAAGAACAGACGAGGCACTTGTTTGCTGGTGGGGGGTTCTTTACTGTGCCCTGGGAACCTGGTCTCCACTCAGTGCAGTGTGTCCAAGAGCACTGAAGCTCTTTTGGGATGGTTTGTGGTAAAGTCAGAGATGCCTTCTCACTGAGCCACTTTGTCCATCACTTCTGAGGGTCAGAAGGGACATGCTGAGAGGGCTCACACAACTCAGGTCTCCTGGGCCTGCCTTCCTGTTGGTGCTTGTCCTTCCTCCAACCGCAGTGTATGTCTCCTGCTACCTGATGCCCCATTACTCTTTTGGTCCGGAGCCCTGATGTTCTGGGACACATTCAGTCTCCTAGTTTCTTATCGTGTCTGAGGCATCTTGGACAGCATTTCCTAGTAATGGTGAGAGTGTCAAGATCCTTGTTTGTTCCTGCCGCTTCTCATTGGCTTCTTGGCTCTGGCAGGGACAGGTAACAAACTGGGCTGTTGAACAAGGATAGAGATTGCTGTGGAACTGAAGGCCAGACCACCGGAGTAGGGGTCATCCTCCCCATGACTCTACTCATCCCATCTCCCCAGTTTGTGCAGGTTTTTTCTTATACATGGTGTGACCCTTCAGCCACTATATTTAAGTCTGTACGAGGTCCTCTGCTTAGCACATGAGTCCTATTCCTGTTCTTCATAGTACCACCACCGTTTCCGCCTATCGCTGTCCCTCTGACTCCCACAAAATGACTGAGTGGGGCCATGCAAATAGGTTATTTGTGGTCCAACATGGGCTTTAGGCAGCTTGTTAAAAATACACATAAGGTGCATGGAACCCTTTAGGGATTGTTGTTGCTGTTGTTAAGTACCATCAAATCAGTTCCTACTCATAGCGACCATATTTAAAACTGGGGAAAAAAAAAAAAAATACTACCCAGTCCTAAACCAGCCTCACAGTTATTGCTGGGTTTGAGCCCCTTGTTGCAGCTACTGTGTTAATCCATCTTGCTGAGGGTCTCTCTCTTTTGCTCTGATCCTCTACTTTACCAGTGATGTATTTCTCCAAGGACTGGTCCCTTCCTGATAATGTACAAAGAAGTCTCACCATCCTTGCTTTTAAGGAGTATTCTGGCTGTACTAAGGTATGTTTGTTCTTCTGGCATCCATGGTATATTCATTCCAACATCATAACTCAAAGGGCATCAATTCTTTCTTTGTCTTCCTTATTCATTCTGCAGCTTTTGGATGCATTGTTGTTGTTAAGTGTTGTTGAGTCGGTTCCGATCCATAGCGACCCTGTATAGGGTTTCCGAGGAGTGGCTGGTGAACTTGAACCACTGACCTTATGGTTCAAACCAACTTTGCAGTCCAGTGCATTAATCCACAGTGTTACACCCAGGACTCCATGGATGCATAGGAGGTTATTAAAAAGACAATGGCTTGGGTCAGGTGCACAGTAGTACTCAAATAGACTTCTTTGCTTTTTAACACTTTAGCACAGGGGTGGGGAATCTTTTTTTCTACCAAGGGCCATATTCACGGACCAAACAAAGTTATCAACTTAAAAATCGTATTTTGTGAAACATTTAATTAACTCACCTCTAATGTGATGGTATGGCGCTGTGGGTTAATGTGCCAGACTGCAAAGCCATTTGAACTGCAAGGTCGGCAGTTCTAGCTCACCAGCTGATCCTCGGAAACCCTATACAGGGTCGCTAAGGATCAGAACCGACTCGATGGCACTTCACAACAACAACAACAATGTGATGGTTGGAACAATGGTTGTCTTGGCAGGGCCTGACCAAATGATTTCACAGGCCTTGTACAGCCCATGGGCCGAATGTTTCCCACCCCTGCTTTAGATAAATCTTTTGCAGAAGACTTGCCCAAAGTGATGTGTGGTTTGGTTTCTTGACTGCTACTTCCATAAGCAATGATTGTGGACCTAAGTAAAATGAAATCCTTGACAACTTCAATCTTGCCTCCATTAATTAGAATTTTTTTATTGGTACAGTTGATAGGATATTTTCTGTTTTGTTTTTATTTTTTATACTGAAGTGTAATACAGTGTGAAGGCAGTAGTCATTGATCTTCATCAGTTAGCGCTTCAAGTCTTCTTCTTCACTTTCAGTAAGCGAGGTTGTGTCACGTGCATATCACAGGTTGTTAATGAATTCTCAGATCCTGATGGTACCTCTTCTTCCTGTCATCCAGCATCTCAGGTTATTTGCTCATCATACAGATGAAATAAGTATAGTGAATGCCTACAACCCAGACACCCATATTTCCTGATTTTAAGCCTTGTAATAAATAGCCTCCTGTTCTGTTGAATGGCCTCTTCTTGGTCTAAAAGTATATACTGGTTCGCATGAGCACAATTAAGTGTTCTGGGATTCCTATTCTTGATAATGCTATCCATAATTTCTTATAGTTTACAAAGATGAATGCCTTTGCATAATCAGTAAAACACAGGTAAACATCTTTCTGGGATCATTTGCTTTTAGCCAAGACCCATGTAATGTCAGCAGTGATATATCCCTTGTTCCACATCCTCTTGTGGGTTAGGCTTAAGTTTCTAGCATTTCCCTGATGGTGCACTACTACAAATGTTTTTGAATTTTCTGAAGCAAACTATTTGGATGAGATAGTAGTGATATTGTTGGATAATTTCCATATTCTGTCAAATCACCTTTCTTTGGAGTAAGCACAAATATGAATCTCTTCCAATCAGTTAGCCACATAGCTGTCTTCCAAACTTCCTGGCATAAGTGAGTGAGTCCCTCTAGCCCTGCATCAGTTTGTTGAAGCATGTCAGATGGTATTCTGTCAATTCCTGGAATCTTGTTTTTTACCAGTTCTTCCAGTGCAGCATGGTCTTCCTTCTTCAGTCCCATCAGTTCTTGATCATAAGCTGCCTCCTGAAATAGTTGAATGTCAACCAGTTCTTTTTGGTA